GGATTACTGGTTAAACACGAAAAAAAAGAAGATATTCTTTTCCGTTATGCTGAACGAATCATTAGGTTGCCTTTGCGTATGATTTCAAAATTATTCACGTGATTCGATTCCGTTGTATGGGCGTCTGATCGTGACTGAGCTTTTAAGACATTATGCAGATGCGAATAAATACATATATACCGAATTACCTGAATATTCAATCAATATCTCGAACGATAGATTATGGATTTTCTTTTGTCTTGGTACGTGGTTAAACAACGTATTATATAACGGTTAACCGATATCCCAAAATATAAACAATTGCTTTGAGTGTCTGAACATCTTTTGATTCAACTGTATGAATCAGTGAAATGATTTGATGAATCCGTTTAAACGATTTTTTTGGATTGCGAAAAGAAATCGAAATACACACACCGGTTGAAAAATTTAATTTTGGCCGATAAGCATTGCTTTATCTGACGAATGAAAAGATGTGGAAGATTATTAAGCAGGCATCAAGGATTAAATACTCCGAGCAATGGAGATGATGAGTCTTTAATGGATTGCATCTGTTTTCGGACGGAAATTGTGCAAGATATGGCACGAAATTGGTATCGAATTTCGTATTAGTGTATCATTTCTAAACGCTGTATCGCTTTTGTACGTCATGTCATTTCTATGTATGTATGGCCCAACTCCTCATTGTATTCCCCACAAATTCCATTGAGACATATTATCTCTGCGGCATTGAACAAGGAAATTAATTTGGTTGGACAGCGCCCCGTATTCACGGCACTCTTGTTAGTATCGATAAATGATTTCATTTCTAAAAGAATACGACAATCTTTTACCTCGCTCCTTGTGGGAATGTCTTTGGAGAATGGAAACCAAAAAGAATCAGCTTAGCTTATTTTCTACACCATTTCTATGCCAACGGCTATTTGTATGGCGAATGAGTTGGGATTCCTTGGAATACTATAAATCGAACCTCATTCCTATTTCCGTTTACGTATACAAAATAAAAAAAGAATATTAGACCCTGTCTGGAATTATTATTAACAACGTGACGCTTATGACGAAGAAAAAAAACCGTTTTCTGATTCAATATGGTTTAAAATTGTTTTGTGTATGTTTTCATATTTTTACAGCAAAAAGAGGGCGTGAATTTTTCCTAACGAAATTCTGTCTGCATCGAATATGTTCACTTTTTGCCCGTCAAACAACGGCTAAACGGTTAAACATTCATTGGTTTCGTAGATCCAATGAATGAATCATGTATACGCATTCATCGAATGAGTAGAAAAGTTTCTTTTCTTTGTATATTGATTTATTGCTTGTCCATTCCATTTATTATGAACAAATCATACAATTACACGTGTATATTATTGTGCCTTTGCTCTGTCGCTTTTTTATTATCCTCAATGCTGAATAAATGGCCATTCACATATTATTTATAAGATAGAAATGCAGGCCACGCGCACGCACACGACGTGTGAAAAGGCAAAAGCGTTTAGTGGAATTCGAAAACAGACACTCAAAGAAGGAAACAAATGTTTGAGATATGTGTTCAAGTCGAATCGAGGGGGAGGGGGAGAAGAATAAAATGAGGCACGAGAAAAAAGAGTGGCCTTTTCATGTGGACTAGAATCAAAATAATTTTGGCTGTTATTCCGATTTGCACACTTTTCGGGAGTTTTCCTCCTTCCAAACATACACACGCACGGCATGACATTGGTCTTCAGTGTTTGTTGATTGCTTCCATGTATAAACAGAAACACACAAAACGAGAGTCATCTGATAGAATTTCGGTGGTGCCGGTTGCGAACACAATTGTATTAACACGATTCACCTATGCCGATGTGTGTTGTACTTTTAATGGATGCCCATACATACAGATTTACATTTTCGATATGTTATCAATATGTTATTGCCCGACATATTTATTATTATGTTATGTTGGGATTTTTTTAAATCTTAATAACGTTATTAAGATTCAGCATAATAATAACATAATATGTTATGCATTATATCGGGTGTTATCTTAATAAATCCTAAGATTCGGCGGTAATAACATTTTATTAACTATAATAATAACATATTATCAAGATGGATTTATTAACTGAATTAATAACATATTATTAGGTTTGGATTTTATTAATTGTGAAGCAATATGCCTTTTTATTGCTGCCAAAGTCGATTCAAAATGAAGAAAATAAAATGCGTCGATTTGTTTTTGGTAGATTTATTCAAATGTTGTTCTTTTGAATGCTTGTGGTGATTTGATGTGTGAATGTTCCTTCGATTGTGTGTTTGAGTGTGGAAGCGTGAAATTTTGCGTGATGGAATCGAGAGAAAGGTATTGAAACAGGCGAATGTTTGTCAAACATGAAGTTTTAATCGGCCAACGAGAACTTCTCGACGCAATAATTCAACTTGAATTTACGTGCGATTCAACCTACGTTTAGACAAACACTCAAATCAGCCGTCTAAACTTTAGAGCTAGCCAATTCGAGTTTTGCGATGTTTCACTTTTATTTTATTCAAAAAACCTACTAAATTAGCTGTCTAACTGTAGCGCTGGCCAATTCAGAGAGATTTCTTAAACAAAAGGTGCACAACTTGTGCTGATACCTATGGAAACTTTCCGTGTATCGAGTATCAATGCGAACTCAGATTAAATTGCGCACAACTTGTACTGCCAGTTCAATAAGGAACTGTCCTGTGCTGAGACTCACGAAGAACTGATTTCATTTTGATTCTCTCTCTGAATTGTCACTGTATCACAACGCTTACTTTTGTATTGGTATTTTGCCCGAATGTTACTCACACAAACACACAACGAAATGTCAGTCAAGTCGCAGAACGCATTTGAAACGAAAGCAAATGTGAGTGCGTTCAGCGTTCGGTGATTTGACCGAACAATGCATGAACAAACTAAATGAGCAAATTGGAAGAAATTAATGAAACAAATATGAAATTAAAATTAACAAAAAAAAAAAAACTTAAAACTAATGCAAAAGTCCACGACATTAATTCAATTAATAACATATTATTAAGATGCAATCTTAATAACGCTTTTTTCGCGCATTCTTTTCCCTAGCTGGAGAGAAAAAAAGCACTGTACGATGTACACACCTATAACAATGCAGACAAAATATGGTAAATTGATCCTTTCAAGGTCGGGACTGGCGATTTCCTAAACTTAATGGTTAAGTTCAATACATGATAATTCCGTTTCAAAGAGTCATTTTAAATTCATTGCAATCGTGCAAAAAATTCATGTGTGTACTCCGCAGAGAAAAAACAACTTGTCAGTGCTCCGGCGAAAGAAATGCGCGAAAAAAAGCGTTATTAAGATTGTATCTTAATAATATGTTATTAATTGAGTTAATAAATCCATCTTAATAATATGTTATTATTATAGTTAATAAAATGTTATTACCGCCGAATCTTAGGATTTATTAAGATAACACCCGATATAACGCATAACATATTATGTTATTATTATGCTGAATCTTAATAACGTTATTATTATGTTATGTTGGACCAATATATCGGCCGTTATTATTATGTTATTAAGTATAGTTAATAATATGTTATTGCCTGTAAATCTGTACCCATACATAGTTACAATCGGTTCGTTTCCCCATGAAAAAAAGTACACCAGGTGTACAGCGATGTATGCGCCATGTTGATGGTCTACACCAGATATGAGCCGAGATTTGCGCTCAATCCACACCATACACCACCGAAAATATATAAGACTCGGCGCAAATTGGTGTGAGCTGTCATAATCATTTCAAACAATATATATCTGGACGTTGCAACGACAATTCACACCAGTTTGCGCCCAATTTGCGCCGAGCCTTATATATTTTCGGTGGTGTATGGTGTGGATTGGGCGCAAATCACCATCTCAATATGGCGCATACATAGCTCTACACTTGGTGTACTTTTTTTCATGGGTCGCTCATTTTCTGGATTATCACCAGCTTTGTTTTGTTGTTTTAGTTGTAGGCCATTTCGAATCAAAAAGCGTGCGTGTGTGTGTGTGTGTGTGTTTGTGTGAAGAGATGAAGTCAAGAAAAAGAAAAACAACCCAAAAAAGGTCGATTTTTATCTGAGACATTAATCTCCTAGTATGTGTGTGTGTATGTACGTGCTTGAGTGCTTGTGTTTGTGTGATAGAATATGAATGAAAATAAAGTCATCGAACGAAAACAAGAACCAAAACACGGCCGCATGCATTCTTCCACTTAACACAATATAAACAAACGTACGAATGGAATAAAAGGAAGCAAATACAGTTGTTTGCGCAGTGCTTCGTTGTACGTATTTGCAGAGACGATGACCACATCAAGAAATGGAAAAATGTGATGTAGAGAACAAAAAATAATTCCATCGACTGACTGAATCGGCAATAAGTTAAGAGGCAATATAACAACATTCGTAAATTATAAAAGCATTTGACTGTGATACGACAATGAATTTGTTCGTTTACCTTTCAATTTTTGCAGTACTCAATCGATCTGATATGAGGAGTACAATCGAGTTGATCAGCTGATGGAATTTTCATAAATAAACGATAAACCATTTTCCTATCCAAACTGGATTGAATGAGTATTAAGTTTTCTGCTACGATCTTTCATCCGGTACTTTGAACATGAGCAGCGCTTATTAAGCACATTTTACTGATTTTAAATGTAACTTTTTGTAAATACCTATTATATTTTTTCGATTCGATCAAATGTGTTTAATATAATTAACAAAATACATGCACTTTTCCTTTTCAATAGTTTATTATGTGAACTTTCGTACAGCAATTTTTAGATGAATCTTGTGAAATAGTATGAACAATAAATATATGCAAGGCATTTTTACCCAAGTGTGTGTTTTTCTTTCCTACACCAATTTAAAACCACATATATGATCAAACCAATTGGGATGAATACGACGAAAATTAGAATCAATACCTAACTGAGAGCTGAATCGTAGTCTTCAGTATTTTTTCAATCGATTGTTGGAAAAAAGCAACATTAAATCATATTTCCATTTTTAAAAAGTTCATTGAAGTCAATACCAAACGAAGATAGCGGTCATTTTCGAAAGCGAAGCCTAGCAGTATGGTGGATTTTTTTTTGTGATGGCATACAGATTGATTCCAGTCAACAGTGTGGAATTGTAGAGTTTTTGGAAATAGCCCATTCGAATTCCATCCGATGGTAAAATACTTAAATCACGAGGGTTAGCTGGTGCACTACATGTTCTGCGCTTTTCGATAGCCATAAATTTATACTTGAAGCTCTGAAATCAAATATAAGCTTAATGTTTATGCATTCCACAGTTCAAACATTTTTCTTGTTAACCCACATTATTATACATTACTGGACATAATCCATGGCTACCCAACGGTTTCGGTCTGCATCCGGTCAAAAGGGAATTGATCAGAAAAATTTACAAAATATCAAGTTGAAGAAAAAAAAAATCTATTTACCCAGATGCCGGTTGCCATTCGCCACAATAACCCATCATCCAGTTTTGATCGCAATTTCGTTCTTCAGTTCCGCGTCCTTTTGAATTTGTATGAATACCTACAGAAACCAATTATTAATAACCAAAAATGTCTAATACTTGACGATGATGTAAATTGAGCGTACTTACATTGAGAGTACTGTGCAGCAGTTCTTGGATCAGCATTATTTGAGAATCCCGGACCGGCTGGATCACATACTGAAGTTGTAATTCCACGTAAGTAATGAACGATATTAAAATTCAATCTTACAAATGAAATTTTTACCCAAGTAAGAAGCACTTACAATGAATTATTCCCAATTGCCTTGGACCAATATCGTTACCAGCACGAACTATGAGCCGGGCACCGTAGCTGAAGCCAAAGAGATAAGCATCAGAATGACGAAATCCTTTGACACGTAGTTCCATCAGCTTATCCGTCAATACTTTTGCAACTGATTTAAAGTGTGCGATCAAAAACGGATAGTCTTTGTTGTAATCCGAATAGTCCATGCAGATAACGCATCCCTCTCTATTATTGAGCAAATCTAGAATTATCACAAATGAAAGTAAGATTAAAACATAGCTTTTCGTTATGTGGCAGATTAATTGAATAATAAAACGAAATTTGCCTGTGGCTTGGCCAACTTACTCTGACGCAAATCTCTAACCCAAAATGTTTCACAGCTTTCCGTAAATCCTTAACCAAAGAATGAAATTGATAATGAAAAAAATTTATTATAACACTGCTAAAGTGCATCAGTATAAGATTTGGCTATCCTACCTGGAACTATCATTGAATATTTCTTCGTTTCATAGCACTTCGTATTTGAAGTTTCGCGATTACTAAGAATCAAAACAATCGATTTTAATTCATTTTTTTCTCCTTCAAAACGGGTTCAAAATTCATTTCATATTTTATTAATATGTATCCCATTTCAGGACTACTTTAGAAACAAAATCAAAATGAATCTTACTTTTGGTCGTAGAAAATGAAACTGGTACGTTGCTCTAGAGGTTTGTTGTCAATTGTAAATGGCTGAGCACTTGCGCACATCAGCAATACAATAAACACTCCAAGTTTGGCTTCCGATCGAAAATCCATGGTTTCTTGCTAGACGATTGAACTGGTTCCTAATATGAGTTCCACGTACAACTACATCGTACATAACGATTCACCCGGCATTTAAATAGATTTCTAGGAGAATATTTCGGTCGTTGATAATACTCATAGCATCTGTTCCCAGTTGTAAATGTTGACCTACATGTTCAAGCAAACCTAACCTTGTTGTGCCAAAAAAAACTAACAACGAAAATAAAGCAAACTAAATTTATAGTACCAAATAACGATATCATATCATGTATGCAGTTCATTGTTTTTATAGTAGAAATATGTCACATTGAACCCGGTGAAATGTAGTGTGAAAAAAATTCCGGTCTATATGTACACATTTATAACAACATTTCGGTAATATTAGATGCGATGCCATTTGGTTTTATCTATCTGATTCCATTTAATGTGGTTTTAAGTAGTTGAAAAAAAGGTAATAATTTTTGAACTAGAAACACCAGTGTGAGTTGAAGGTTGCGGAAATGATACAATACAATGCAATAAATTGTCTATAAACATAACACAAAAACATCATAGATCGGTTATAGGTTGATGCAAAATAGTTTCCAAGATCATATTAGGCAATTCTATAAATAGGTAATATCGACCATTTTATATGTTTTGAATTATTTTTATCCCAAGAGAAACGGCCAATATGTTTATACGCTGTCTATCCGCCGAAAATACACTACAATATATATTCACGCTTATTGGACGCCGAATTCAATATATATTCTAAGGTATTTTCGGCGTATTCTTCAGCGTGAAACATATTGAAACTTATTCAGGCGCCCTCTGATGGCCATGAATGCATTCATTGATTCAATATGTTTCACGCTGAAGAATACACCGAATATACACTAGAATATATATTGAATTCGGTGTCCAATAAGCGTGAATATATATTGTAGTGTATTTTCGGCGGATAGACAGCGTATAAACATATTGGTCGTTTCTCTTGGGATGTTGATTGTTATGTTCGTTTTTTGCCAGTTCAAATTTAACTGTTCATTGAACTCTGTAGTTATGTACTAATGTCAATGTCGTGATGAGGAAATTTTGCCTAGAAACTTGCGATAAACAACTGATAAGTTGACCTCAAACGAATTTAAAGTGCAACAACACCATCAAACAGTAGGTCGTAGTAGTAGTGTTAACTTTTTTGAGATAACATTTCGGATTTTTTTTTTCGTTACTTTCAAGTGTGGAATTTTTTTTCTTCAAATATTTTGCATTTTTCTCAGTTTAACATCGTACAACGTACACTTCAGATAAATGTCATGCCTACAAGGGGAACAAAAAAATTCCTAGAAGCAATATCGCAGCTTTAAAATGCTTGAGATGCTTCAATAAAGTAAAAACCAAAATTTAATTAGCCAAATGTATCAATCAACCTTTGCGAAGCTTTAAATTAAGCTTTATAACACCGGTTTGCTCCTGTATTTTGCTACGTTTATCGCACGGAATTCGTGCAAATATGCTTAGAATGTATTCAATTTATTATGCACGAAGGCTGTAGACTTCACGTTGGGTATTCAGAAATAAATTAGCACAAGATAATGGAGTTACGTTATAAATTTTTCATTAGAAAATTTATAAATGGTTCCATTCATTCTTTGACATTTTGCTTTTTGAACCCTTCTTAAATTTCGTTTTTCATCTTTCACTTTTTACCTTCGGCCGAGCTGTGCACTGTGTACTTCTTGAATGTATGCGAACGGCATACCATTGTTCGTCTCATATGATTCACATGATGCAGGTTAGTTTGGTTCCATCAAGCTTGTTATTACTTCATTTCGTGGGTATCTCCGTAATAATCAATTGAATAGCAAACAGTTTTTATTTCATTCTGTCGAAGTTTCGAATCGGTAAAGCCGGAAAACTTCTTCTGGCATATTTCGTTGATTGGGAAAAATGATTTATCGCTGTATACACAACTAGGTCAATTCAATGATAGCAGAAGCCATTTCACTTTTATCTATTCACAAGAAGATTAAACGCAACTGCAATAAATGATGATGCTAAGATTCGAGAAATTTATCATCGCCATCGGTGTAAAAATAGAGGCGGAGATAGACGGAGAGAGAGAGAGAGAGAGAGAGAGAGAGTGAGAGTTAGAGGGATAGAAAGTGGATCGATGTTCAAGTGCGCAAATAGAACATGCAACTGTGGCTATTGTGTGATGAGAATCGATTTGCTTGAAACTCATTCTCATTACCATCGAATTTGACTGAGTACAATTTGAACTAAGATAAGCGGCACTCTTTCATTGGCTTCATGACGCGTTAATTAATTTATGCTTTTATTCCCATTTATTGCTTTTTGTGAAGTAATTTTCCAACTAGATGAAGTAGAAACAAAAAAAAACGAATCTACCTAAGCTAAGATACAATCTATCTATGCATGTTATTCTTGCATATTTCCAACTCAATTTTTATTTCAGTGCATTCCAAATCATAATTAATCGATACATGGTGAAAAAAAAACTTATGGCAAAATGTGCACGACACATAGAGAAAGTGTTGAATTTTTTATACAGCTTTTGGTGTATTCAATGTTCATATTCAAATTAAGAAAAAAAAATGGTATCCGACATGCTTTTAACAATCCATTTATTCGGCTCAAACTCGATACGTAAGCGAAGCGATGCTTTCATCCAATAAAGTTCAAACCAACGCTGAATGTGAACAAGGAGGGTGAGAAGAAGGAAAAAAAAGCATTTTAAATGTTTAATTTTTTTTCGGCTTGATAAAGTCAGTGAATTAATTATGTTTAATTTATGGCACACCTTGCTTAGAAAGTTTTCTTTTTTCGTTGTGCTTTGCATTCGGAATGTTTGCCGTGCTGCGTATATTTGCGATCGGGGTAAATTTCGAAGACCCTTTAATCTTTCTGGTTGAATTTCATTCGTTGGAAATAATTTATTTGTTTTTGCACGAAAAATTACGGAATTTTTTTTCTACGCGGCATCGATAAAGCCAAAAAAAGAGCATAAAGTGTTTACCCAAAAGTTTCTGTTCACAGATTTTTTTTTCCTTAGTGATTTTGTTTACGTGTTCATTCCCGAGAATCTATTGACTTGATGAGAGTGAGAAAGTGTGGGAGAAAGACGGCAGAGCGACGAGAAATGATACTGAAAAAGTTTTGACGCGGATAAACAAGCTGGAGCCGCCTTCTCGTTGTGTGCCTGCTCAGCACACTTTTACGTGTTCAGCTGTGCGTTTCTTTTATGTGCGTCACTTCAATCAACGCACAAATTATTTTCATTCATCCGTGTGCCCCGACCTCTGAAATGCCAAGTAATTTTATTGGCCCAATTCATACCATTATAAAATTCAATTCACTCCATAAATCTGGAAAATTTTCGTAGTTGTTCGCACTCATCTCGGAGACGAACTACTCAACTTGGTTAGGAGCAAATGTCATGAATTCGTAGATGAAGCGATTTTTTTTGATGATTTTAAAGTTGCCGTTGTCTCACTACGAAGCGTTATTATAGTAATCGTACAACTGTAACAAACGTTGTTGCACGGCAAAAGAAAAAAAACCCCTTTTTTCACATCATTTCATGACGAATTCATTTTTTCGGTTAGAAGTATTATTTGCATTCATAGAATGTTTTATATTTGTTCTTTTCCTTTCCATTGCCCTAAGCACATTATTGGCAACTGAACGGAACTTCCTATTCGCTGAACGCAGGATGTAAAATGGTTTTTCCACTGAATATTTCACTGTAGAGCCCGGAGATGTGTTGAAATCAAGCGACTGTAATCATCAAAATGGATATAATTTCCATCACACATGACATTGCTGCGTCCAGTTGGCAATCCATTATGTTGTCATTGTTCAAAATATCGGTTCAATGGCTGAACATTATGAGGCTTCACAAAACTTGTTTGATTCCTTTGATTGTGTGTCGATGAACGTAGGAACGTTTGTGTTTGTGTGTGAGTGTGAGAGTGTTTAGTATATTTCATTATTTCTGATGCCGTTCGGATGTTAGCCACAGCCTGAATGTGGTTGGGCTGGCAAATAGAAAGTATGCGATACGATGATGCATTGACTTCGGGATGTCATGAAATGATGTAAATATGAAAAGGAAAACACGGTCGAACCGACACATGCAAAGCCAACGGTATAAAATCTATTTATGTCACTGAATTCGCTACCTATGGTGCCAATAGAAAGCACAAAATGAACAGCCAGCTCGCAATTTTTTTTTTCTCGTGGCAACAAAACAACATACACATACATGTGTGTGTGTGTGTGTGTATCTAGTCAGACCAAGCGTCAAATTAAATGATAGAAAACGGCACACAAAACAAAGCGAAAGAATGCAGCAATGAAAAACCTAAATCACAGCCATTGTAAAAGGGCATGTAAGGGAAGGCAATATTGGAAAAACACAAAACAACCAACATCCAATACAGCATGCTGTTAAACTGGCTATGTAATATGAGTACATGTTTTTCAAAATCACCATACACATCTATTGTTCACTCGTGACCGCTCGAATGTATTCGATGGTTTTTATGTGGACATGAAACATTCTCATCCCGATCCGCAGACACAGAAATCATTATCAATTATTGGATTATTTTTCATTTAAATAAATTGCACAAAATATATAAAATTCACATAAAATATGGTTGGCATACATTTTGGAGCTGTGTGATATTGCGTTGAACAGATGTATGTGTGTGTGTGTGTGTGTGTTTGTTGGTTTTGGTGAAGAAACCGTGAACTCATTTTGATTCATTGTGAAAACATGGGCGAACTAATTTCGATTATTTGCCGGGTTTCATCCCAAATAAAGAACTAAATTATCCAATAGTTTGGCTCACATCATCCGAATGACCAAAATATGTTGTTAACGCTTAAATGAACAGCACCACTGAAATGTGCCTAAATCGCTTTTATTTCACAGATTCAGCTATAAATCTCATCGTGGAAAATTGTATTTTTAACCTATTGCACATGGATATTCAAGCGATTGAACGATGCATCATTCAAACGAGCTTATTTTGAATTTCTTCATTTTCAGCACTTCATTCAAGCGTTTGATAACCGTTAACGGTCACACACACACACACACACACGCGCGCGCATATTAAAGGCGTATCAACAAAAAGTCAACCGGAGTTCAGAGAGATAGTTTTGTTTGTTTTTAGTATGCATAGAAACGGTAAGTTAAATGGTCAACAAAGATGAAACATCTAAAAAAATGAACAAAACAATTAAAATGCATATCGCTATATCCTTCATGTTTGAAATGCCATATTCTCTACACGATACGTTTTTTTCTCTCTCTCGTTTCGAGTCAGAACTGACAATGAATCCGATTTATATCGACATTGTGACTTCTGAAAACGAGGTATTCCGCTTTGATGAATTAAAATAAAATCCATTCTCGAGAAATTGAACGGGCGGTCTGATCTCGTTAATGGTCAAAATGCAATTGCATTCACAATGTTTTTCGTTTCACTCAATGGATGCGATGCGCTTAATTAATGATGCAATGGAGAGTTTTATTTTCAATGAAAATAAAAACACATTGCCGATTGTTTGTGACAACAAAAACACCACCCACCGTAACTTTCTCGTGGTTATTTCACATGGAAATATTTATTTTTCATTAATTTTTTTTCGACAAAATATGCGCGCGCACGGCGATCAATAACATATTCTACCAATTGAAATGATTTTTTCCCTCTTATAACTGCAAGATTTTCACACATGTATACACTGAGCGAAATGAGGTTGTCAGAATCATCAACATGAAGTTAGCAGTGTTTGGAAAAAGATAATTATCTAGATAAGATAAAAGATAATATCTTATAAATTTCGGAAAATCGACAAAATATCTTATCTTTATCTTATTTTTTACACGTTATCTTATCTTTTTTTCAAGATAAATTGAGATAATTCCAAAGTTGATCAATTCAAAATTTCAAAAGGAGAGAAAAAATTGCATTGGTCCAAAAATGAATATTTTTTGCAAGAACAAACGCTCTTGTGGAAAAATCAGAAAACAAATTTTATTCCGTGCATTTCGAGAATAAACAACTCATAAAATATCGAAAGAAATATTTTTTTAGTTTTTTTACGCATTTTTCTAGTTTCTTCTTTAGAAAAAAAGAACCAAAAATTATCTTATTTTTTATCTGAAGATAATTGAAGATAATCTTATCTTTTTTATAAAAGATAAGATAAATATCTTATCTTTATCTAGATAAAAACACAAAAATTGGGTCTTATCTGGTTTTTATCTAGATAAAATTTGTTTATTTAAATAAAACACTGGAAGTTAGTGCAGAAAATTTTGCGAAATGTCCAACCCTGGTTGGAATTCGCTCGTTTACAACTTCATGTTGATGATTCTGACAACCCTATTTCTCTCTGTGTACATTTTTGAATTTTGTGAATGATATAAAATGTAATGAGGGTTTTAAAGCGTGTATGAAAATAAAGCGAAAAAAATATATCATAAAATCATGCTGAAATATTCAGCAAGTCTGAAAAAAATGACCTGTCCGGAAAATGTGTTGTGTGTGTTTTTGGAGTAGATCAAATTGATTATTACAAATAATTATTGATTTCGGCTTAAAGCGAAATAATTTTCATAAGGGTACCTCCTACGTGTGAATGCACACAATACAAATTTATTATAATGCATTGTATGGCGTCGAGAGTGAGAGAAAGAACAATCCTGAATGGCATGTTATGTTCAACCTTAATTTGCAACTAATTGATGCTACGAAATGCACTTGATGCTGATTTCCACGCCAGTGTTAACAAATTGAATTTACTGTATTCATTTTCAAGCGAATGTTACCTTTTCCAATGTTCCAAGCGCATTTCAATTTCAATAAAGTTTCACAACACAAAGGATTTTTTTTCCCTTCGTTACAATAGCATCACCGTTCGGATTGTGTGTAATAGTGTGGTTGTGGTTTTTGTTCCCTGTTCAGTGTTCATGCAATTATGAGCTCAATGTCTAAAACAAATCAATAAGTTTTAAAGCTGCAAGCTTACGCTTTTGAGAAGTTCGTTTACCGGTTAAATCTGGTTGAAGGGGCCAGTGTGAGTGGAACGTGGATGCAGCACTCAAAAGTGTAAAATAAAGTAAAATCTCGTCCAATGCTCTCGGATGTGCGGTGACAAAACGACAGCTTTGATGCTCGAGGTACATCGATACATGATTGCCTATACTTGCATTTTATTTAATAAAGAAGAGAGGAAAGAAGAGGACACACACACACACAGCAAGCCAGCAAAATAAAAATGTCACAATAATGATCCAACATTAGGTTTTATCATTCAGTGTGCGACTTCACCGTCACACAGACAACGGAACAAATAGTCTGCTTTTGGTGGTTGTGAAAGCATAAGACGATCTCAACATGCGGGATGACGTTTTTGCGGTGTTTTTCATATTCTAAGAAGAGAAATTTTTTAATATTTTCTCGTGCTCTGTAATCGTTTCTTCTATATGAAGCTCATATAAATGCTAATGAGTTTTTCTTTTAACAACATAACATACAAAAGAATGGAAAAGCCAACGTTGGTTGTTCTGCTCTTTCTCTCCCGTTCTCATTGATGGCATGCTCGCTCGGTGTTGCATTCATATACGGCAAGCAAAGCAGCAGCAGCGGCGGCAGCAAAAAAGGAGAATAATAACGACTAAAGTCATGAACGTTGATGAAAAAGAAGATGAAATTCATCGAATGTATTCCATTGGCATGGTTCCGCTGGGTAAAGTATCATTTAAAACTTTTAGCGTTTCCATTCGATGTCTTCTTATTTTTTGTGCTTTTGCACTTTCTCCTTCTTCATCTTTTCCTTTCTTTTTCTTTCTCTACTTGTTTTTAATGAAAACATATGTCGGCATTGTCATTGTTCGTAGTTGACCCACTGATGATTTTCAACGATACAGTGGAGAGTTTTTCGTTTGCGTTATTGAATATTTAGAAGAAAAAAAAATGTTGCGCTACCATAAAAAGCAAATCCTATTAGTAAGCGCTGCTCATGGAGCACATTTCATAGACTTGATTTGTTTTTATGTTCATTGTGCTGTGAGTGTCAGCATTGCTTTGTGCACAATGCCTGCAGGTCCGTTCCGAAAGGTCCAAATGGAGGCAACAAAAAATCTCAACTATTTCATTTATACACTGGATCCGGGATGATAATAAAAAAAAGCAAGCGAAGGGGAGTAAGAGAGGGAGAGAGAGAGAAAAATTAAACGACAAATTATTTTTACTTCTCGTTAAAATATATTTGGGTCTCATCAAATATGAACTTACATTTATAGTTGTATATAATTTTCATATGGGTTTTTGTTCTTGTTCTTTACATATTTCTGTCATATTATTATATTTCCACATTTCATTACGTCGGATTTCTATCGAATCTCCATATTCTTTTGGTTGATTTTGTTGTTGTTGTTTTTTTTTAATTTTATTCTTTTGTTGTTCTGTTTTTATTTCATAGATTTTAATTATCGTTATGGTAATAATATCCAAGCAGTACATAAATACATTAAAAATAAAGCATTAAATGGTTTAAATGTATTTTTTTGTTGTTGTTTGTTTACGGTACTTCGATTGAACGAATTTTCAAATTGAGAAGTTTAAAGATTGTCGGCTATCGAAGTAATGCCAGTCGAAAAAAATTCCATGGCCATGCTTTAAGCTAAGTACACAGTTCCTCGTGAAATGAAAAAATTTCTCCGATATTCCTATGGTGTATTTTATTTTTGAATTGCAAGCATAATGATTTTTGATGTATAAAACAGCTAACTCATTCCAATGTCAATACGACACATGAACAAAGTTCGTTTTTGAGTTCATTCTTCTATGTGTTTTGTCTGAACAAATTTTTTTCACGGCCGTGAAAAAATAAGAAAGATCAAAATACATTAAAGAATGAATTCAAAATTGAAATTTGTTCATGTGTTGTGTTGATATTGGAGGGAGTTAACTGTTATATACATCAAAAATCATTATGCTTGCAATTCAAAAATAAAAAACATCATACAAATATCACCTGTGACAATTTCACCGGAGAAATTTTTTCATTTCACGAGGAACTGTGTACTTAGCTTTACAATTAATTCCATTTTCATGTTGATTTTTGTTGTTATCTTCCATTGTCTTTGAATGGAACTCATTTTTTTTTTCATGAAATTTAACTTTCATTATCGAATGAATCACCAAATATATTTATCGCGGCGCTTGTTCTTTGTTGTTCAATTAATGTTCCGTTTGGTTGGACTATTCGCGCGGCTTTTATTATATTATACTTTACTTTTTTTATTATTTTATTCATAGAAATGTAAATTAGTGCACATGAATGAGCTACATTTTGTACGATTATCACTAGAAAAATGTCGCTGGTTTTTAAATTTATTAATTTAAAAAAGAAAGAATAAGTGTGCGAAACCTAACAAATTTTCAAATAAATGAAGTAGTCAGTTTGCAGATCCAATTATGTCACCAAATTTATTGAAATAAACTTTCTTTTTTAAATTTAATTTACTAAATTTTGGTTTTGCATAAAAAAATGACGTTCTGTGAGAAATAGAAAAGTTCATACGATTTATAACAACTGTTTCAATTCATTTGGTTTTTCTTGCTTTTGCTTTTGCATTTGTTTCTGCTTCAATCGCGATGCTTTTGGTCAAATTTACTTTTTGCAATGATTTCATTTTTCGTGTGCACATTCACATTAAATTCATTTTTGCGCGCATTTCTCGGCCATCATCCTTCTCTCACTCTCTCTCTCCCTCTCTTTCTCTCTCTGTTTCCCATTCTATTCAAATGAAACGTAAATGATGAACATTTCTGTTTTTTCTGCAACACACAAATCAAAATGTTGCTTTCAAGGGCATATAGCTACTTGTTTCTGAATAATTGTATTCATTACGGAACTAATTTCATTCGGTTTTGACCTATATATCTATCGATAAGGATTAAAGTAGCCTAGTTTGTTTGTTGCTTTTCACGAACGGTGAATTTTTTTAAAATTCAAAAGTTTGGCTGGATTCGAAAAGAGATTTACATAATGAAATTGCGAATGCATTTCAATGAATTGTATTCCACTGATTCTGCTAGTTCTTTCTATTGTGATACGTTTGGAAATTGATCGTTTGCAAACACAATACATTTGAACATGAGCTACTTTGATGCTTGGCGACAGATAACATGTTTTTATGGGTTTGAACATACAAAAACTCCTTCATGTCAAATATAAACTGTGCACTAATTTTTGAATGAGTACTGCAATTGTAAATGAACATAAATCTCAATGAGCGTTGTCTTCAAACCAGTGTAAATTGAATGTAAAATAGGAATATGGCAGTGTTGGGTTCGGCTATTGCATTCAGTTATATCGAAAGAAGTGTGAACAATTGGTGGTGATTCAAAAAGTACGTTGTCGTTTACTGTCGCATGGTTTGCGTACAACAATTCTGATAGTTCGATTTATGTTTTCAGCATTCTTGTTAAATGAGCTTTCAAATACGATCAGCCTTCGCAAAATCTTCGGTACACACCATCAATTCGCTTGAAAGATCGATAAAGTTCTGAATCTGGGGAAAACGACATTCTTCAAGTTGTTGACGGAAAAGTCACATCTTCATCGGGGAAAAACGGTTTTCACTATTTGCTGAGAGTGTTCAAGGCGAACAAACTATGTTAAGAGCTATATGGGAAATTGCGTTGAAATGGTAATATTCTGGAGAGGAGGAATAATGCCCCATGCTTATTTTGCGTGAATTTTTCCTTCTTTGAACATAAGGAGAATATAAATCGATTGCTAATTTTATACGTTGCATGCGATATTCATAGCATTTAATTTCTCCTATTTCTTCATTCAATTTCAGTTTTTGTTATTTTTTTGTTTTCACTTTAATTAAATTACCATGCATCGTTAAACTTTTATGTTCTTACGTTTTTTTTGTTGCTTTAATTTATGAATAAACACATACGCGATTATACATACATTTATTTGATTGTAAGTGAGATAACATTTAAAATATATTGGTTTTCAAAAATGCTCTATAATATCATTTGGATTTAGACTATTACATGTTATTTTTTGCGTCCGTTTTTTTCTATCCATTCTCTTTTTTTTGTTCTTGTTTGTAATTTTTATTTTTCATTTTTCATTGACTTATAAACGATTTGTGTTTGAATATGTCAGTTGTGTTTGTGTTGTTCAAATGTGAAATAAAAACAATGGAATGAAAAAAAATTTGAATAGTATTCACTTTGTCGTAGGTGATTGTGATTGTTTGGTGTGTATGATGGATTATAATTTCAAAAAAAAAAGAAAGAACAAGTTGTCCTTTCTTGTTGATTTCGTCTTAGTCTTAAACACATTAATATAGTTTTAAATTGAAAGGACTGTATTAAATGGCAGTTGAATGTTGTAAAGAATTGCGTGTATTTATTTTCATTCCATTGGCCTGGACAGTCCGAAAAATGGTTTAAACTCATTGATCGAGGTAAAACTTGTCTCTGTTGTGTTTTCAGATTGTATTTTATTTTCATCTATAATTTTATCGTTGTGCATGGCATGAATGTTGCGCACGGTACATCAAAGGAAATTCCGACATTTTCTTTTCATCAATGTTCTTGTTCGCTGATTTTAATATTTTAATCATATTAAGCTCTAGATGGTTTATGTTTTGGTTATATATAGTTTGTGACAACTACACGATGGCATTGTTTGTGTCCACATATGGTGGAAATGATGACCAAACCGATGAAAAAAAATCTTTTTTTTTATTACAAGGGAATTGCTATTTGACTTTGATTTGCTTGTGTCTGTGTATTTTTGTGTCTGTGTTTCTCTGTGTGTATGTGAAAATGCACGATTTTAAATTTCAATAAATGTATACATATTCATTTTATGGTAGCATTTAACCGTGTACACATATTACATGCTAATTTCATAATTTGAATGAGATGCTGTCATTTGGTAGACATTTTAAAATGGATCCTCAAAATGAAATGATTGATTCCATTTGGCTAAATATATTTAAATGAATGAGGCATTGATTGACTTTGGAAGAGCGGTGAACATATCAATCGCTTGGCCAATGTTTGCCATTCCTTTTATTTGATTTTATTTTTTGTTTTGTTTTTCGTTACTGATATTGATTTCATTGTTCGATACGTTATTGATTTGAAACTGTCCCTGTCCGATTGACAGCTATGGAGATTAAAGTGAGCGGTGCAAATATCTATTTAATTTTTTTTTTTTTTGGTAAAGTGTTCGATTGTTAAACGTTTTTGTTTTAATTCAAAGAACTGATTAGATCGTTCATCCCTAATTTTATGATGATTCACATCATATTTTATTATTAAACAGGCATCTTATCGCTTGTTGTTTTGTAATAAATTACTTAAAGAAATATGATGACATATTTAGTTGTTGTTTGCTTGCGACAATATATTCCATTCAAAAATCATTACGTCCATGCTTGGTTTTGAATATACTTGAAATACAAATAAATAACTCTTAAGAGTGTAGACACGAAGGGTTGTTTTTTTTTCTCTCTTTGCTGCTTCTTTTAAACATCATTCAATATTCGTAGTAACCCATAGTTATATAAGCTATCTGTTTAAGCAATAATACTATCTTTTGTGTTTGAGTGTAAGTGGGTGAGTGGTATGTTTATTTGTGATTGAATCAATTCATCATAATTTGCTGTAAAGTATACTTATTGTAATGTAGTAATTTGCAAAAGTGAGAAAAATGAATTCTTTGGAAAATTCATTGAAAAACGCATCAAATGAAAATGAAAAAATGAAATTTTCTCTTGTTGTTGCTTTCATCAAATGCATTTGGCTCGAGTGATCTACGAATGTTTTCTTTTTCTTTAGATTGAATGCATTATATTTACATAAAAAATTGGAAATTTATCCTATTTCTTATCCACGTTTCTTTTTCATATCTGCTGTGCGATGAGTATAAGTTCCCTTCAACGGTTTCAATAAATTGTTTAAATTAAGTTTGCCATATGGTTCTTTCATTCGCTACTTGTTTTCCATATCCTTTAACTCTAAATAATCCTTACATTTATCCACTTAGATTAATTTCTTCTTTTTTTTTCTTTAATACTAACGATCAGCTTACAATATCTCCTTAATAAAGTGTTTGTGTGTGTCTGTGTGTTTTTTTTTACTTCATGTGTAAGTTAATGGTTTTGTTTCTTCCGTTTTGTAGCTGTATGACATTTAATTCTCATCATTATCATTTGCTTCATCAATTTTTTTTCTTCTTCTGTCTCAAACGTATAAAAAAAACTCCTTAATGAACGTGTTTCACGTGTGCTTTTTCATAAGTATTTACTTATACGAAAATTTTGAATAGAAACATAGCTATCGGTAATATGAACTTTACGGTATTTTTGTAGATCGATTGTGAGCCGGATCCATAGTACGTGACGCTCAATCCTCGCATTTCAGAATCTGCAAATAAAGTCAAATTCATTGATTAGTTGAAAATTCATCGAAATTTTTCGTTCGCCACAAAACAAAACCAATCTATATACAGCCATCGAGTGAGCAATGGGGGCATGGCCAACGGTAAAGAGAGCGACAGAGACGGTGTGAGAGTGAGGAGAAAATGTTCAAAGTGATTAGTTGACGGGAGTATTGCCAGGACAGTGTCTCTGCTCTGCACATTGTCATTGGCAACCCAAACATTTCTACCTTTATCTCATCAATTTATGCATGACAGCGACAAAAGAGCGTATTGATTTGGTTTTGGTTGAATAACCTTTTTGGTTTGTCACTTGTTTTTGTGACGACCGACATCATTCAAAATAAATGCCCGTAGATCAGCTATTTCTTGATCACAACAAAACCATTCTGCTCTTTTATCGCTTCAACGAAACCAATAATTCCATTGTTTTGGTTTCATCAACGGTGATGGTCCAGAACTTAGGCCACGGCAACAAATGGAATTAATAGAGCGAAGAGGGATAGAGTGACAAGTATTTTTAAAACCTATATGAAAGCAACAATCTTCTCGCATGCCAATCATTCGTGCCAATAGCGAGCATATTTTATGCAATTCGATTAAAATTTTGCAACAAATCACACCATAAACTCTAAGCAATCCAATTTGATTTTGATAGATGAATTTTTCAACCAAAAACGAAAGAAAAATAAAACAAAACGAAAATCTCATGGCAAAACAATTCAATACCTGATTGCGGTCAAAATGAATTTGAATTAAATGAGCATGCTCTAAATTAAATTCGTGGCAAAACGCTAAAATTAACTCACACGTACGAGAGAAACGAAAGAGAATGATTGCACTTAAAAACTAAACTAACCTGACAAGCCATGATTCAGGAAGGAAGTGATATCAGAAAAGCCATCTGCAAGACAGTGCAAGCAAATTATGTGTAATGTTAGTACGGTTTAGAATGGGCCATGAATTCCAACGAAAATCAAACGGATCAATGGAAACATTCCACAAACATTTTGTTGGAAAAGTGCGTCAACAATGTTTCCTTCTTTATTCGCGATTGAATGTGATTGCAAAGATATTCAAAATGTGAGGTGATTTGAACAAATCAAACGGTGCGAATGTACAAAATACTAGGTGTGTTACACTTAAAAATTATCCGATATCGAACCATTCATATCATAATCAAAATGGATTTATGAACACCTCTAATCACTTGAATGAATCGGTGTGCTGCATTTTACTATTGCTGAGCTTAATGGCTAATTTTTGAATGATGAGAATGATGCGGTCAGAGAATCGGAATGAAATTGTCATTCGATCGACCTTACACTAAATTTTGAAGAAAAAAAAGCTGGGTCAATAAAGAAAAGCGCTTGCTTAATGGAGAGTAATGCTTAGTTCGAAGTTTGATGCCTTCAACCGTCTACCATTGCAGACTAATAAACATAAATTTGCTGGGATAACAAATGTCGAAATAATACTGGTGAATGAATGTTCGTAGAAGAGAGACATCATTGGATTTTTCGACCAAAAAATAAAGCAAATCACGAAAAATTGCTGAAGAAGAAGAAATTTATTAAGAAATGAACGCAACATTTCTGATGAGAATAAAGAAGTCGATGAAAATGGCCAGTCATGTTGAAAATAAAACTGCGACACAATCGTAATAGTCGTGCACATTTATCACAAATCTTACTGGCGTTATGATTTGCAGCTCGGGCCTAGATAAAGGGGTTGACCATAAGCATTTATTGACGTTGCTGTGATATTCTTATCGATACTCATAGCTCTGATCTTTTTCAGAGTCAATCGATATCATTGCATTGAAATCGCTTTGAAAGCTAAAATTTTCCGCCAAAATCCAATGTGCAGATTGGCCTTAAAACTTTGTTGCGGTTTGTGTTTTTTCTTTCACTTTCATTCGGTTTCTCATTCATTTCAAGAAGCTTCCTACTGTTCGGTTGATTGCTAGGGATTAATACACTAATGTTTTTATAGACACCAATAAATACAAATAACACATGTTACAAATCAACGAATACGAAACACAAATTGGATGTGCACATTTGAAAGCGTGTGACTTGTGCTACAGCACTTACCGTTCATCGATGTGCTAAAGGTGAAGCTCTCCGACATATCGCTCCAGCCATAGCGATTTCTATGTAGCGAAAAAGAACGAAAAAGACAAGAAAAAACGATTCAAATTAAATGTACGTTCGTTTGGAGTGTTTGCAATTTTAATGCGAATTATATCGGAATGGAATGGGAATGGGAGTGGTGAGATGTGTTTGGAAAATACCTTGCTTGAACGCGAGCCTCGTATTGCTGATCTGGATCAAGTCCGCGTATCATATAGCTCATGCCCTGTGTGTAGTGATGAGATAGTGGTACCGATGGCAAAACAACATCACGCCAATCATTTCGTGACCAATGCATTAAATTACCATAATTGCGATGCGATTGACTGTCTCTGTGATGTTGCAAGGGTTGCTGTTGCTGTTGCTGTTGATCTATGCTGTTATCAATATCATGTCCTTGTGGTAACCTTCGGAAATACAATTTGAACTCTTCGATGGGCGTATGCGAATCAACTGTCCACGAGATGTTGTATCTACGCGCGCGAGAAAAAAAGAGTGGAAGAAAATAAAACGAGACACAATCAAATGAAAATGACATCGAAGTAAGCATTGTGATGAGCTGAAGATGGCGGCGATTTAAACATTCAAACCGTTGACTAAATAAATTAGAAATGCCAATGTGAAAACGAACCGAACACGCAATCCCGAATACAGAGCACATCTTTGCGAATGGGAGCAAACGAGCGCATTTTACTAGTGTATAATTGGTAACCCTCATAAAAGTCACTATTCGAAATTTATTTTGTTGTGTATTTTTGCTATACTTAGGCCAGTGTGTGCTTGTGTTCTCTCTCTCTCTCTCTCTCTCTCTCTCTCTCTCTCTCTCTCTCTCT